CTACAAAATAAATATACACGCCTGGTACCAAATTGACACCAAACTGTTTATAATTTTTCAATAACATCCGTACGACAACACTATGTAATGTTGACAATATTGCAACAATTCGTTGTCGAAACTTAAATTTTATACACATCCGTTGTCTTCATGTTAATAAACGTGGTAAGCTCACTATTGACAAACAATGCGCTGCCAATAGTGAGCTTACCACGTTTTTTAACATTTAGACAACGGATGTGTATAAAATTTAGATTTCGACAACGAATTGTTGCAATATTGACAAAGTTGCGACATAGTGTTGTCGTACGTATGTATATACTTTGACAACGGATGTTATTAAAAAATTATAAACTCTTTACTGTCAATTTGGTACCAGGCGTGTAGATTTCTTTTTCCCTCTGTCTATTAGTAAACGAATTAAACATTTCTTAGACGGCTATTTTTTTTTTAAAGCAAATCCGCTTTCTTAAGTCTTTATTAGGAACCGATTTAGGTATGTACTTATGTAACTTCCTATTTGTAGGCGAGTATGATGAGTACTTATCTCTAATGTCATCTTCGGGTTTAAATAATTACGTAAAATTGTGTAAGTAATTTTTAGCATTTTATTGAATTTATTTGCAGTGTAGTATTGATGTCTATATATTTGTGGTCATAATTATTATAAGCTTATAAATTTATAGTAAAATTATTAATATAGAAATTTACTAGAAACTTGATGTGAAAAGTTTCAATACAAAAACAAAGAAAACAAATAATACTTCACATTTTATTAATAAATGTCATAGAGAAACAAAGTTATAAGATTTTTATCGAATACAAAAAAAAATGAATTTCTTTAAAATAATTATTCTTGCCATTTGCCTGTCTGCCAGTTTAGGAAATGCTATAAGAAATGTAAGTTATTTGCCTTTGAATCGTATAACATTTATAAAATAATAAAAAGAAACATATTTTCAGTGTCAGAGAAACGTATGGAAGACTTTGCCAAATGGACGAAGACGGTAACTACATATGTACATATGTAGTTAACGTCTTTGTTAATATGTGTGTATTTACCCTGCAAATACTTACATTGAAGATTAATGATTTAAAAAGCTATTAAACCATTAGAATTCTAACATATTAATTTAACATGATGATGACACTGGAGACAAGTACTTACCACGCTCGCTTACAAATAATTACTTATAAATAGGAAGTTAAAAGGCGGTTTTGTTTTATTTACAAGAATTGCTCACACAGAATACGGTACTGAGCCTCTTGTTCGTTAATACGCTGAATTTTATTTATTTCTGTTTTTAAAATTACAACCTGTATATTAAGCACAACGTTTACTTGAACAATCAGACAGCCATATAGACAGCCCATTGGGAATACTTTATGTACAAATATCAGAATAAACTGTTATAGTCAAAAAACAAAAATAAATCTTAATATATCCTGAACTAAAATCTTCCATATTTAAAATTTTTATTAATTTCGATTATAAATGTATTTTTGGTAATGAAATACAGAAATGTGAGATCTCAGGTAACTAATTTTAAGGGACGCCAATCCGCATATGAAACTGAACAAAGGTAAACAAACTCCTAAACACTTCAGCTCCAACCAAACAAGTTTATAAAATACACTAGAACTTTCAATATAATACAACATTATTTTGCATATTAAATGACTATATGTACGTATACGTAATATTATTTTTCTTATATTCTACATACGGCTAGGTTGTCCTTAAATACTTAAACAAATGCGTTCTTTTATATGGGAAAACTAGGGCTTTTTGAGTCCAAACGTGAGAAATTTAGTATTAATGTTCGCCCTTTCTTAGAGCAAAATCGTAATCTCGACAAATAAAATTATGGATTTTCAGTTTTTTTTCTGTGTATTTATTAAAAACATAATTTTATTAAATCAATTAACATTAATATAACAAATAATGGCTATAGGTTTAAACGATATAGCTAACATTTGTTTCTATGATGGAAACTTAATTATTATCCTCATAATAGTGTTTTAGATTGGTTTAGTAATTCAACCAAAATTAGAAACTGTATTTGTTATACGATGTACTTTTCTATCATGTTTGCGATTAAGTACATTCTAAAAAAAAGGATTTATCTATATATATAAAATTCTTTAAAGTTAAAGAGCTGAAATTTGGACAGGAGATTGGTCTCCCACCAAAAATTCGAAATATTTAGGGGCTAAAAAGGTTAAAAACGGGTAAATTCGGTAACCTCATATCTCCTAATCTAGAAAAGATATCAGTATAAAGCTTATTGTCGTTCATTAAAAAAATAAGCGGACAGGTGTCTGGTACTTTTTTCAAATTCGGCCCCTTTACGGAATAAACGGATAAAAACTGTATTTTGGTACTTTTTTTTGCACCCCATGTATCTTTTAAACCAATGAATATACAAAAAATATTTTTGACTCCTTCATAACCTAACGAAAAAGTATACTCGGACGTTTAAGGGGTGAAAATTGTACCTATTTTTGGTACTTTTTGCATAAAGCATTGTTTCCTATGTATTGATTTGTACTTGAGAATGAATACTTATTGATGGGCTCCCACTATGACATTGCAACTTTACTTCAATAAGGAGAAAAAAGTACCTCATAAAATTGGAGAAATTTTTAGATTTAGTAACACTAAATATGCCAATGGGGTATTACTTGGAACTCTAGCACAGGTACTTTTTGAGTTTTCTATAATATTGAACCTAGAAACGTGAAATTAAGCATGTAGATCCCGGAGTAAATGAGAATCTATAAAAGGGGACTTTTTTGTATTTTTTTGTCGATTGGCACCTTTTTGAGTTTTCTATTAAATTGAACTTATTGGTACTTTATCATACTTTGACTGGTACTTTTTTAAGATTTCTATTAAATTGAACCTAGAATCATAAAATTAAACACGTAGAGGTCGGAGTAAATGAGAATCTATAAAAGAGGACTTTTTGGTACGTTTTCGTTCTTTAAAAGGTACCTTTTGAATTTTCTATAATATTGAACTTGGAAATTAAACACGTAGAGCCCGGAGTAAGTGAAAACATATAAAAGCGGTATATGATCAGGGTAGCGAAGCACACTGGGTATAATGCCGCTGCTTATTCCACACAGGGGTATAAAAAAAGATGGAGGTAAATAATTCTGTAACTACTAAACGGTTAGTCCGATTTGAATGAAATTACATGTGGAGTTAGGTGGTGTTGTCGAGTTTAAGTTCTGAACTTGGACCTCATGGAACTACCGGGGGAATGTCCAGAGGTCCCCAAAGTAAGACTCCTCGGGTATGTACAACTTTTAAAGCGATCCTATTTCTTCGTTTGTTTTCCAATTTCAAAAGCATTATTATATATAAAATTTGCAAATTTTTTTTTGCGGATCGGTCCAAAATTGGTCGTAGCTTCCATATAAGGTTTACTTCCGAAAATCGCCTGAACACACATATTTCATTGATCAATAAAACTACCGAAATAAAATTCGACTTGAATATATTTTGTGTATTAATAAATCATTCAACGAAATTTTATTCCGGATCAGTCTACAATTGGTCATAGCTCCCATGAAAGGTACACTTCGGAAAATTACGCACAAGTTCATTAAGAATCAAAGTTATCGGGATGGAATTCAACATGAATGGGTATTTGTGTCCTTCTTACATGTTTTATTTATAAATCATTATACGAAATATTTTTCGGATCGGTACATTATTGTTCATAGCTTCCATATAAGTACCACGGCTGAAAATCACTTAATACCGGACATCAAACTAGGATATAACAAGTAAGAAACTATAGTCAGGTGTGGCTGACCATATGATACCCTACACCAATTGCGAATATTAACTGTGATTTATTTTCAATAATTAAGCATTTATGTTGAATCTTATATAGGTTCCAAATAATGTCTGTTCATGTACCATAGATAGTTGTATATTAGACGTAGTTAAGAGATAAAAGTCTCAAATCGGTAGGTTGTATGGGGGCTAGGGCAGAAATTCAGCCGATCCTTATAAAATTTATTTTTGGAAATTATGTTTATGTAAAACTTATTTTTGCTAAATTTCATCGTGATAATATGGACATGTGAACGTTCAAGTCATTCTCTGAAGGGGACTTTGTATGGGGGTTAGGGTTAAAAGAGGTATGATGATTACTAAAATTGACAGTGTTATTTAGGATTACATCAAACTTAATTATGCTCATTTTTCGATAGATAGTAGTATATTAGACGTAGTTAAAAGAAAAAAAGCCCGAAATCGGTAGATCCGGTTGTATGGGGGCTAGGGCAAAACTTGGACCGATTCTTATAAAATTTATTCTCGAGATTTATGTTTATATAAAACTTATTTGTGCCAAATTATGACACTAGTGTTTATAGGTGAATTGTGGACATCCAAGTCATTTTCTGAAGGGGACTTTGTATGGGGGCTAGGGTCAAATAATTCCCGATCTTTACAAAAATCGTTAGAATTATTAAGACTTATATAAAATTAAGTTCTGCCAATTTTTGTAACATAATTTAACATTTAACATAATTATGAGGTCAAAAGCCCTATTCAGGGGTTTCATTTGTATGGGGGCTGGGTGCATAAAACTAGCTTTTGCTAAATTTTACAACGATTGCTGTATAATTTATGAATCTTTAAGCTATATTTTGGGGTATCACTTGTATGGAGGCTAGGTCATAATAGATGTTGCTTACCATGTCCGTCCGTCTGTTTAAATGAATTTTTTCACAGATATCCATTGTAAAGGTTTGTTTGCTATTGAAAATCGACACTATCACATATTTTGATGGTGGTATAGCTTGATGGCTTATAACTTTTCTCCAAATCAAGATTTCCATTTAAGTAAAATTAAACTATAAATATACATAGATTAAGTTTAACAAATAAGAAAAAAAACTTGTGGTTTTGAGTTACAATATTAAACCTTATTAAAAGAAAATTTATTAACAGTATGTAAATAGATATCATAAAGTAACAAAGTTATCCGATCTTCAGTAAATATATAACATTGTAATTTCGTAAAATAAGTTAAAAAAAACATGAAATTAATTAATTTAATTATTGTAATCGTTTGCATAATTATCGGTTCAAAGGAAGTTCAGGGGAATGTAAGTGGCCATTATTTTATTTGTAGTATTTTGTCATAAAGTAATTTACATAAATTTATTTCAGAATGGAAAACATGTGATATTCACCACATTTCCGAATTGCTGTAAATAAGTAGTGAATGAGAGACTGGATAAAAGATCATATGTACCCTAAAGTTGTGTTTATTTATATTAAATTAAATTCAAATAGGGAGGATTTATGATCTTTCTTTGTTGAATAATTAAAATTATAATTTTGCAATTAAACAAATGAGATGTACATATATAAAATGTTGTTTCAATTTGAACGATATACGCACTTACTATTGGACCACGTAGACTAAAAATCCAATGCTGATAATTTGAGCAGAATTAGGGAGTCTTTGCCGTACTCTACAGAGGTCAATTATGAACCGATCGTCATAAAATTTAGTTATTAGATTTTGGTTTTTTTGGTGATTAAACGATAACCGCAAATATAATGAAATTAATACTACCCAGAAAAAATGCTATTGTGCCATTTTAAGTCATTTTCATAACACGTGGATGCCATTGTAGATAAGTATACCACGCTCGGTCGAAATACAGATCTTTTATGTATATTCCATATATGAATCATATATGCATTATCTATATACAGTATTCCCTCTATTTACGTTGTTTCGATTAACGTCGTCAAAAATTTTGTTGCTCTCAACTTCGATTTGCGTCGTCATTCGATTTACGTCGCCTCTGTTGTTTATAAATGAAATGAGGGGAATTCCCTCTTTAAAAAATTTTAAAATTTTTTGTAACTATTTGAATAAAGTAAAGAAAGAGTTTTAACAATAAAAAAATATTTAATTAACAGCTTGTTTTTCTAAAATGAAAATTTGTCTTCGTTCTTAAAAATAACGAACGAAATTGGCTTTACGTTTTTGTAACGAAAAAATAAATTTTCATGTGAGTGACAACGAAAGAGCTTTATTTTTCCATATATTTTTAGTTTTTATACCCACCATCAAAAAAGATGGGGGGTATATTGATTTTGTCATTCCGTTTGTAACACATCGAAATATTGGTCATAGACCCACAAAAGTATATATATTCTTGGTCCTCATTATATTCAAAGACGATCTAGCCATGTCTGTCCGTCTGTCTGTCTGTCTGTTGAAAGCACGATAGAGTCCGAATGGAAAGAGCTAGAGGGTTGAAATTTCACGTAAATATTTCTTATAGGTAAGGTTTGTTTGGTATTGAAAATGGGCAATATCGGTCCACGTTTTCGGATAGCCCCCATACAAGTGGCCCCTCGAAATGCAGCTTTAACAGCCATAACTTGTTTAAAAATACGAATATAGCTATGAAATTCGACATAAGTAAGTTTCTTATGATCCAAAATCACTATGCAAAATTTTATGAGGATCGGTCCATAATTGACCCTACCCCCATATAAGGTCCCCTTAGAAAATGACTTTAACGCTCATTACTGGCTTAAAAATACTAGTATATAGATGAAATTCGACATAAGTAACTTTCATACGAGTCAAAATCTATCTAAAAAATTTTATGAGGATCGGTCCATGATTGGTCCCCTTCAGAAAATTGCAACGCTCATTAATGGTTTAAAAATACGAGTGTAGCGATGAAATTCGACACAAATAAATTTAATACGAACCAAATTCTGTCTACCAAATTTTATGAGGATCGACCCATAATTGACCCTACCCCCCTATATAAGGTCCCCTTCAGGAAATTACTTTAACGCTTATAACTGGCCTAAATATATGAGTATATAGATGAAATTCGACATAAGTAAGTTTCATTCGAGTCAAACGAGGTTTGATGGTGGGTATATAAGATTCGACATTGTCTATATATGTATATAAAAGAGTCCCGTTACTGACTGACTGATTCATCATCGCAAAGTACAAACGGCTAAACCTAGAATCATACAATTTTAAGATGACTTTTTCCTCTAAGGTGGGATTTTTGGAAATTTGTACATTTAGGGGTAAAAAATGGAAAAACGGGTAAAACTGGATTTCTTAATTATCTAACACAATATTAGCGATACATGAAAAGTTTTAAATATATCTGTTAAATAGATCAGATTGGTGTCTAGTACTTTTTCGAAATTCGTACTTTTATGGGATAAAAATGTACCTTTTTGGCACTTTATAACTATTCAACCAATAAACTTAATAAAATTTTTGTAAATATTTTGTATATATCTTCCAAAATTATGAGACATCAGTTTCGTACTTTTTTAAAATTCAGCCAATACACCCAAAAAGTGTAAAAGGAAAATTGTATTTTTGGTACTCTTTTTTTATTATGAAAACTTTTCCTATTTGCAAAAAGATAAAAAGTACGAACAAGGATAAAAACGCGAAATTTATTTTTATTCAAACCCATTGAGCCAATTTCTATAAAATTTTAAAAAAAAATATTTACCCACACAAAATAATCTATTGGTGTGTTATTTCAGAACTCGGGACCAAATTCGGGTAAATAGTACTATTTGAATGCATAATTGTTTCTTAAGAAAATGAAAGAAGATTTTTGTTGTTTCAGTTTTATCTGTGATATTTACATACATATATTTATTTAAACACGGAGTCATTTGCAAACATAATTCTCGAAAAAGTCTATTCCTTTTTTCCATTCTTTTTATTAGTACTTTTCGTTCATCAATTATACTTTTTGAATTTTCTATAATATTGAACACAGAAACATACAATATATATTCGAATGAGAATCTATAGAGGTATTTTATAGTACTTTCTCCTTCAAATAGTACCTTCGAAATTTACTTATTAGCAACAAATCGTGGTAAGTTCTTATTTAACTCCCTATTTGTAAGCGAGCGTGTTAGTACTTATCTACAATGGCATCCACGTGTTAAGAAAATGACTTAAAATGGCACAATAGCATTTTTTCTGGGTAGTATTAATTTGTGGTTAAAATTATTAAGAACTTATAAATTTAAAATGAAAAAATAATGTTTTAAATAGAAATTTGCAATACAAACAAGTAAGAAGTTATAGTCGGGCGTGGCCGACCATATGATACCCTACACCAATTGCGAATATTAAATGTGATTAATTTCAATAATGAAGCATTTCTGTTAATCTTATATAGGTTTCAAATAATGTCTGTTCATGTACGGTTTATGCTGGCTAGGAGAAATAAAAGACCGATTTCACACAAGGTTTACACGGTCACAAAGACGGACATAGCAGTATATTAGATTTAGTTAAAAGATAAACGGCCGAAATCGGAAGGTCCGGATGTATGGTGGCTAGGGCAGAAATTGAGCCGATCCTTATAAAATGTATTATTGGGAATTATCTATATCTATATATATAAAAATGAATGTGTGTTTGTTTGTATGTTTGTGTGTTTATAAGTTTGTATGTTTGAACGTTATAGACTACTAAACGGCTAAAACGATTTTCTTCAAATTTTCACAGCGTATTCCTGTATGTCTGGCAATAGGCTACATTTTATTTGCGATCATGGCGAAAAATGACAGTGTTATTTATAATTATATCAAACTTAGTTGTGCCAATTTTTGGGAAAATAGTAGTATATTTATCGAGTCATTTTCTGAGGGGGGCTTTGTATGGGGGTTAGGGTCAAATAATGCCCGATCTTTACGAAAATCACTAGAATTATTAAGACATATATAAAACTAAATTTTGCCAATTTTTGTAGAGATAGTAGATCATTTAACATAATTTTGAGGTCAAAAGCCCTATTCGGGGGTTCCGGTTGTATGGGGACTACGTGAAATAATGGACCGATTTCAACAATTTTCAATAGAGTTCGTCCTTGGACCAAGAAAAGCGCATGTTCCGAATTTCATTAAATTATCTAAAAAATTGCGACCTGTAGAGTGCGCACAAGGATTATATGGACACACAGACAGACGGACGGACATAGCTTAATCGACACAGGGAGTGATTCTGAGCCGATTGGTATACTTTAAGGTGAGTGTAGGACCAATATTTTTGGGTGTTACAAAGATCAGCACAAACGCATAATACCCTCCCCACTATAGTGGTGTAGGGTATAAAAATGTTTCAATGCAAAATCATTCAATAGTTCACTTTTTATAAACAAATGTCATAGAGCAACAAAGTTATAACATTTTTGTCGAATACAAAAAAAAAAAATGAAATTTTTTAAAATAATAATTTTTGCCATTTGCATTTCTGTCAGTTTAGGAAAAAATCCAAATAATGTAAGTTATCTGCCTTTGAGTCGTATAAGATTTATAAAATAATAAAAAAAAAATTTCAGCGTCAGGGGATCGTATGGAGAACTTTTCCAAATGGCCGAAGACGGTAACTACATATGTAAAAAGTATATTCAGATGAAGACATTGGATGCAAGTACTTAACACGCTCGCTTACAAATAACTACTAAAATAAGTACTTGCAAATAGGAAGTTAAAAGGCAGTTTTGTTTGATTCACAAAAATTGCTTACACACAGAATACGGTTCTGGCATATAGTAGCATATAGGCGAAAGGGATTGTCAAAGACCTAAGTCCCCTGTCAAAATCCTAACTGGTGAGAACGTATTAGTAGAAGCACAAAAATAAACACAATTGTTCAAAAGGTGCTTAATAATAAATGTATTTCTGATACGTTATTTTTTGTAGGTTATTACTGGGATTTTATATACTAGTGAATGAAAATAACAGATAATTAATTTTTTTCAGAAGATATTTCATCTTAAAACATATTATAAACACTTCTTTCTGTTAAATTTTTTCTGCACTAATGGAAAAAGAAAAAAAGTATGTGAAATACTTTTTTCATTTTCAATACGAAAATTATTAAGTTTAAGTGATAAGAAAAACTATTAAGTGTTTTATTCTCCCAGAACTCGTCTGTGTGAAGAGAATAAAAAATTTTGTTTGACAACCCCTTCAGTCTCGCCTATATCCTTACTATATGGTTCTGGGCCTCTTGTTTGTTAATTCGATGAATTTTATTTATTTCTGTTTTTAAAATTACAACCTGTATACTACGTTTACTTGAATAGACAGCCATATAGACAGCACATTGGTGTACTTTATGAACAAACATCAGAATAAACTGTTATAGTAAAAAAAATAAAAAATAAATCTTAATATATCCAGAACTAAAATTTTTGTTAATTTGGAATGTATTTTTGGTAATGAATCACAGAAATGTGAGATCCAAGGTAACCAATTTTAAGGGACGCCAATCCGCATATGAAACTGAACAAAGGTAAACATACTCCTAAACACTTCAGCTCCAACCAAACAATATACTAAAACTTTCAATATAATACAACATTATTTTGCATATTAAATTACTATATGTACGTATACGTAATATTATTTTTCTCATATTCTACAATGTAGAATCTACATACGGCTAGATTGTCCTTAAATACTTAGCAAATGTGTTCTTTTACATGGAAAAAGCTAGGACTTTTTGGGTCCAAAATGAGAACTAGAACTGAATTAGAACTGAATTAGAACTGAACTAGAACTGAACTAGAACTGAACTAGAACTGAACTAGAGCTGAACTAGAACTGAACTAGAACTGAACTAGAACTGAACTAGAACTGAACTAGAACTGAACTAGAACTGAACTAGAACTGAACTAGAACTGAACTAGAACTGAACTAGAACTGAACTAGAACTGAACTAGAACTGAACTAGAACTTAACTAGAACTGAACTAGAACTGAACTAGAACTGAACTAGAACTGAACTAGAACTGAACTAGAGCGGAACTAGAACTGAACTAGAACTGAACTAGAACGGAACTAGAACTGAACTAGATCTGAACTAGAACTGAACTAGAACTGAAATAGAACTGAACTAGAACTGAACTAGAACTGAACTAGAACTGAACTAGAACTGAACTAGAACTGAACTAGAACTGAACTGAACTAGAACGGAACTAGAACTGAACTAGATCTGAACTAGAACTGAACTAGAACTGAACTAGAACTGAACTAGAACGGAACTAGAACTGAACTAGATCTGAACTAGAACTGAACTAGAACTGAAATAGAACTGAACTAGAACTGAACTAGAACTGAACTAGAACTGAACTAGAACTGAACTAGAACTGAACTAGAACTGAACTAGAACTGAACTAGAACTGAACTAGAACTGAACTAGAACTGAACTAGATCTGAACTAGAACGGAACTAGAACTGAACTAGATCTGAACTAGAACTGAACTAGAACTGTACTAGAATTGAACTAGAACTGAACTGGAACTAAACTAGAACTAGAAGTGAGTTAATTAAGTAATATTACTTAACTACTTAATAACGACCCAGCAAAAACTTGCATGGCATGTAGAGGTTAAAACGCTAAAATTTATGTACACAATACCATATTAAGTCATTATTTTAACACGGTTATGTCATTGGAGGCAAGTACTTACCACAAACGCTTACAAGTAATTAGGAAAAGTAATCATTGTAAATCGCACGAAAAAACGTATATAGCTTTACAAGCAAGATGACTAATGAATTAGAAATATTTATATGATACTTTATTAGTAAAACCTTATTAGACTCCTTCTATGTAATGCAGATGGTATGTACTAATCATTGAAATGTAAGTTGTTGAGTAGAAACATGTCATTACGATGTATTTGCTGGGTATTTATATTTTTTAAAGTTAAAGATTTAAGAAATTTTAAGAGTCATACCCAACAACAGCAAAAAATTTTTTTATTATGTGGTAAAAAAGCTTATCAAACATTTTGTTTCTGAGGTTTAATCAGCGCTATAAAATTACTTATATACATAAATATACACATAAAGGTTTGCATCAAAGTTTAATGACTTTAATACCAGGCACATTCATATTATCCTGTCTTTTAATATAAATATCTCCGATTTTATTTTTAAATAAGAGGTTTATCGTTTCCAAACCCCGGCGCATAAGTGTTGGTACAAATAAATCCGATTGTAAATATAGAACAGGTTTCTTTATAATATATAATTGTCAAAAAAAAACCTGAAACCGCAAAGTTATAATTATATATGATTTCAAAAAAATTGAAGTTCAAGGAAGCAATGTTGATTTGTTTATATATATTGTGTTAGAGTGATATCATATGAAAGTCAATTATGGACACCAGTTGCAGAGTAAACTATATAGATTTTTTTTTAAATCATTACAAGAGAATTGTGTCAACTGTCGACGGCTATCGGGCCTGCTGTGCCTTTTTTCATGGAAAATTTTGGTGGAAAACCCTATTATCGTCTAATGTTCAGAAACTTAGTTTCAAATACGTAATTCCTTTGAATTATCTGAGGAGACACTCTTACTGCTCTCTTTAGTGTTACCCTATATGATTTTAGTGCTACTTCCCACCATAATTGACTCTAGCTTCCATATTAAGTCCAATTCTGCGGATGAAATTCGACTCGAATGTATTAATAAATATTTAAATTTAAACTATTCTGGTTTCTCTATATAATATTTATATATGTATTAATGTACCACTGTGTAGACTATAAATCATAAGTTTTCTAAATTCCTATAAAAACTATTAACACAGCAAACTAATCAATATTTCTATCGTATTTTCCATCTAGTGCAAATTAAAAATGCAATTATTTCCCTGAAATGGCTAAGATGAGACTATTGCTCATAAAGTACATAATTTCATCTCTAAATCTTCAAAATTTAAAAGCCTTAAAAAGGATAACCTGGGCATAAATCCACCACCATCAGTGGTGATATTAGTTTGTCATTCCGTGTGTAACACCAGGAAATATTCATCTGAGACCCAACAAAGTATATATATATATATATTCTGGGTCCTCATCAAATTCTGTGTCGATTAAGCTATGTACATAAATAAATTTCTCAAATACGGAAATCTCTCCATCAACTTTTATGATAATCGGCCCATAAATGACCATACCCCCCCATAAAAGGTCCTTTCAGAATAACTTTAAGGCATATTAGTGTATTAAAATCTAATGAGATTCAACATAAATAAACCTCATATTAACCAAAATCTCTCTCTCAAGGTTTTTGAGGATCGGTTCATAATTATATCTACCTCCTATATAAAAGAAGTTTGTTGGAACTAAAAATAATCTGCCAAATATTATGGTTAGACTTAGAATTTCATGGGTCTCACATGAATATATTTTGATATTACACACGGAATGACAAACTTATATATACCCTCTATCACCACTGATGTTGGTGGAGGGTATACAAAATCTGCAGAAATCAAATGAATTGTTACATTCTAAAATTTAAATGGAAATTTCTGAAATTCAACAGAAAATGTATGTTTAATTAATATATGTACATTAGTTATAATTAAATATTTAATTCATTTAAATATAAAGTTCATGGAATAAAATTACTTTTAATACATGGACGTTTAACCACAACATCGTTTTTTTTAATAAAAATTGTACTTAACATAACAATAACCCATTTTACGATTGCTATATAAACCCAGTCATCGTTTTCATTCTCATCAATCAGTTTTTAAAGTTCTGTCAAAATGAAAATATTTCAAATAATATTTGTTGTGGCCTGCGTTATAGCTGCCGTCTCTTGTAATCCCGGCAATGTAAGTTTTGATCAATATAATTAAATATTTAATAAATAACTAAAAATATTTTTGCAGAACGAAATCGGTGGAAATGGCAATACCAATAATAAGCAGAGTAATGGTGATGGCACATTTTGTGCTTTGTGCGGTTAACAGCCTTTAATGAATGAAATATTCTTGTTTTCGAAAATTAAAAATAAATAAATTTCAATGATTTCATAAAACAAGTTAAAGTTAATTGTGAACATTCAAGTCATTTTCTGAAGGGAGCTTTGTATTGGGGGCTGGGGTCGCTTTTTCTTCGATATACTAGTATATTTAAAATAATTATGAAAAATCTCTATTCGGAAACAACTCTGAAATGGGTGGTCTTTAAACTTTCATATGAACTAAATAAAAACAAATCTTAGGTATATCTGGGAAACTAATAGAGCTAGAATCTAACTGCAATATGATGTCAATACAATTAAATGTACATCTGGGAAATTATTTGAGCTATAATTAATAATTGCGACAATTATTAAGTCGCAATCAAATAAAAGGTGCAAACAAAGTGACAAAGCGGAAAGAAAAGTACTTCTATATCAGATTATAAGAAAGTCATTACCAGAATACTTTTAAGTAATTCAGACGATAAGTAGTAGTCATTGAAAATTAAGTAGTTATAGAAGTACAACCCATTACCGAGTTTTTGCTGGGTAGTTTAAAGTATTTTAATACATGGAAGTTTAATAACAACATAGTTTTTTATACCCTCCGCCACTATCAGTGGTAATAGAGGGTATATATAAGTTTCCCATTCCGTGTGTAACACCAAGAAATATAAGTATATATTTCGAGTCCTTATCAAATTCTAAGTCGATTTAGTTATATTCTTCTGTCCGTCCATCCGTCCGTCTGTCTGTCTGTGTAAAACACGCTCACATAAAAAACGATTCTAAGTAAATTTATAAAATTTGGCCTATTCTGTTTGGTATTGAAAATGTGCAAATCGGTTTACATCGGAAAGTGTTATGAATCAAAATTTGAAAAAAAAAACTCCGAAAAAATTAAGCTTGTGTTAAATTCTAATACAATTTTTACAAAAACTATGCGATATAATTTCATAAAAATCAGCACATAATTGTTTCTATATGAAAGCCTGATTCCTGTTAAAAATGGGCAGAATCGGTCCACAATTTCATACACCTGCCATACAAATGTCCTTATTCCCGGAAAGTGCATTAATTGTAACTTCCCGTAGAATGACAATATCTTTACAAACTTTAACAAGTAAAAGTTTTATGTCAATTGAATTCATATAGAGAAAAATTTTTCTGAATCGGTCCATAATTGGCCGTATCTCCCATATAAGGTCCCCTCCCTAAAATCACCTAAGCTACATTACACGTTACCAAATAATGATATCTAATATCTAAATTTTTTTCACGATCGGTCCATATTTGGTCATAGCTCCCATACAAGGTCTCCTCCCGAAAATCCCTTAAACGCACATAACTCATTATTAAATATTTATGTTTTATTTCGTTTTATTAAATCATACAAATTTTTAATTTTGATATTCAAATATAATTAAAGATAGTTAACCACACAAAAGGCAAACCTTGCCATCGCCATTGGTCTGTCTATTATTTGTATTGCCATTTCCGCTTATTTCGTTCTGTAATAAAATATTTTAAATTAAAATGTTTATATAAATAGTTATAATTATAAAAGAAAACATTATTTATTTTTAGAACTTACATTGCCTGGATTACAGGAGACAGCAGCAATAGCACAAGCTACAACCAATATAATTTGAAATACTTTAATTTTTACTGAAGTTACAAAACAGTTTAATGAAAATGAAAACGACAAGTGGGTTTATATAGCAGTTCTGAAGTGCTTAAATGATATTTTAAATAAAAATTTTAAATTTATTTTAAAAATTTTTAAAATTTTTTAAATATTTTATTCCATGAATTTTGTATTCGAATTATATAAAAGAATACACGTACACGGATCAATTAAGTTCCAAATCATAACAAAATATCCCATAGTCTCCATATAAAGAAAGGGACCTATTCTCAAAAACTGATTTATCGTTAATAATAAAACTGTGTAGATGTAATTATAATATCAATAGAAATCATACTACTAACGTAGAGTTGTATCGGTCCATAATTCGTCACACAAAATCACTTAAATTACTTATTAAGAAATAAAGATAATGTAACAAAATCCGACATAAATATGTTTTATGTATATATGTATCACTTTGCGAAATATTGTCCCGATTGATTCATGATTCACATAAACAGACATATTTCATTACAAAATAAAGATATCGCGATAAAATTTAATGTCTTGACTGTGTTTAGTATATATATCAACCATCCTGCAAAATATTTTCCTCATCGGTTCTTAATTGGTCATAGCTCCTTTATAAGGCCCATTTCTGATAATTATTTAAACGCACATATTTTATTGACAAAGTGATATCAATCAATCAATCAATCAATCTATCTATCTATCTATCTATCTATCTATCTATCTATCTATCTATCTATCTATCTATCTATCTATCTATCTATCTATCTATCTATCTATCTATCTATCTATCTATCTATCTATCTATCTATCTATCTATCTATCTATCTATCTATCTATCTATCTATCTATCTATCTATCTATCTATCTATCTCTATCTATCTATCTATCTATCTATCTATCTATCTATCTATCTATCTATCTATCTATCTATCTATCTATCTATCTATCTATCTATCTATCTATCTATCTATCTATCTATCTATATCTATCTATCTATCTATCTATCTATCTATCTATCTATCTATCTATCTATCTATCTATCTATCTATCTATCTATCTATCTATCTATCTATCTATCTATCTATCTATCTATCTATCTATCTATCTATCTATCTATCTATCTATCTATCTATCTATCTATCTATCTATCTATCTATCTATCTATCTATCTATCTATCTATCTATCTATCTATCTATCTATCTATCTATCTATCTATCTATCTATCTATCTATCTATCTACTATCTATCTATCTATCTATCTATCTATCTATCTATCTATCTATATCTATCTATCTATCTATCTATCTATCTATCTATCTATCTATCTATCTATCTATCTATCTATCTATCTATCTATCTATCTATCTATATCTATCTATCTATCTATCTATCTATCTATCTATCTATCTATCTATCTATATCTATCTATCTATCTATCTATCTATCTATCTATCTATCTATCTATCTATCTATCTATCTATCTATCTATCTCTATCTATCTATCTATCTATCTATATCTATCTATCTATCTATCTATCTATCTATCTATCTATCTATCTATCTATCTATCTATCTATCTATCTATCTATCTATCTATCTATCTATCTATCTATCTATCTATCTATCTATCTATCTATCTCTATCTATCTATCTATCTCTCTATCTATCTATCTATCTATCTATCTATCTATCTATCTATCTATCTATCTATCTATCTATCTATCTATCTATCTATCTATCTATCTATCTATCTATCTATCTATCTATCTATCTATCTATCTATCTATCTATCTATCTATCTATATCTATCTATCTCTACTATCTATCTATCTATCTATCTATCTATCTATCTATCTATCTATCTATCTATCTATCTATCTATCTATCTATCTATCTATCTATCTATCTATCTATCTATCTATCTATCTATCTATCTATCTATCTATCTATCTATCTATCTATCTCTATCTATCTATCTATCTATCTATCTATCTATCTATCTATCTATCTATCTATCTATCTATCTATCTATCTATCTATCTCTATCTATCTATCTATCTCTCTATCTATCTATCTATCTATCTATCTATCTATCTTCTATCTATCTATCTATCTATCTACTATCTATCTATCTATCTATCTATCTATCTATCTATCTATCTATCTATCTATCTATCTATCTATCTATCTATCTAGCTATCTATCTATCTATCTATCTATCTATCTATCTATCTATCTATCTATCTATCTATCTATCTATCTATCTATCTATCTATCTATCTATCTATCTATCAAGGGCCTTCAACGCGGACCGGGCACCACTAGTTCTTTTATAACTAACGATGTAGCAATAAAATTCGACACGAATATATTTAATTCTCTTAAATTATTCGAATCGGCTTATAATTGGTCATAGCTCCCATAAATGGTCCAAAAATCCAAATAAAAATTAGATTTTAAATTACTTTTTATAAAACGTTGCTTATAGGTGGAGGGTGTAGGGTATTCAAGATTCGACATATCCCACACAGCACTTACAAAGAAACATAAAAATTATTATTATTTTTAAGCTTGTTTTATTAAATCATTAAAATTTCGATTTTTTGAATTTTCAAAAACAAAAAAAATTACAAAATGTCATTAAAGCTGGTGGTTACCACACACAGCGCAAAACCTGCCGTCACTTATAGTTTGCTTGTTTGCATGACTATTTTCACTCATTGCCTTCTATAATAAAATATTTAAATTTAAAATTTCTATATGAAATATCAAATAAATTATTATTTAATTGAAAACTAACATTGCTAGGATTACAGGAGACTGCAGCGATAACGCAGGCCGCAACAAATATTATTTGAAATACTTTCATTTTTACTGAAGTTACAAAACTGATTGATGGGAATGAAACAGTCAAGTGGGTTTATTAGCATTTCAGAAGTGCTTAAGTAAATTTGTTATTAAAAAAAACTATGTTGTGGTTAAACTGCCATGTATTAAAATACTTTAAACCATAAATTATGTACTTAAACTAGCTATACCCAGCGTGCTTTGCTACCCTAAAAAAATATATATGTAAATAAAAACTCTATTTAACGATTTTTGAGGATTATAGCTCAAATAGTTTCCCAGATATACATTTAATTGTATTGACATCATATTGCAGTTAAATTCTAGCTCTATTAGTTTCCCAGATATACCTACAATTTGTTTTTATTTAGTTCAGCGACCAGGCACAGCGACCCTAGCCTCCATAAAAAGCCCCCTTCAGAAAATGACTTAAATGTTCACAATTAACTTAAACTAGTTTTATGAAATCATTGAAATTTATTTCTTTTTTAAATTTTCGAAAACAAGAAAAATTACAATATTTCATACATTAATGGATGTTAACCGCACAAAGCACAAAAGCTGCCATCACCA